AGAGCCAGTACAAATGGGATTTTTTTTTTGTTTCAAGACTGCTGTGGGAACTACATGATCCCCAGGTCTAAAAAGCCATTTCCTTAAAAAAGGGACTGAAATTTTAAAATAGTTTTCTACCTGCATGGAATCACCATGTACAAGTAAGGCAGAGTTGGGTCCTGGGGCTATCTTCCCTTTTAGGGAGCAACAATAATTAGATTTGATCACAGCATTTTTTTTTTTCAGTCTTCAAATCACTTAGAAGTAAAAAAGAATACATGAGGACTCTTAATTACAAATCTCTCCCCACTCCATACACACTTGTGCATTTCCAGGTCACGCTAGGAGACAGGTTGGTCTACCACTGTTCCATTAGATAAGTAAAATGCAGGTTTTAGCACTTGTCTAGAATTTTTTTTTATCACCAAGGAGACAGAGTATCTGTATTAGATAGCTGTCTGGTTTAGATTTTGATTTTCTATCCCCACATTATTGAGGTACTAAACAATCTTTAGAGCATTTATTCACTCAGACCCCTGGGAAGTAAGACTATCTTATCCCCTTTATAGATAAAACTTGGGTTCAAAGGCACTTTGTTTCTTGCCTTTAAACAATAAGGAAATACTTGAAAGGACAAGAACAAAGTCAAAGATTCAGTTAATAAACACTCTAGAGAATGATTGTCAACCTTTTCTAATCTATACCCCTTCAAGTGTCTCTGCTGAGATGTAGATATCTGTTTGGTGACTTTAAACTTAATGACAAGAGACTTCATTTTCCTAGTTACCATTCACAGACTCTTTAGTCTGGGAAGTCACAGGTTAAACACTTCTGCTCTACCACTTCAGAGATTCTTCAGATCCAGGCAATCCGATTGGGAAATTACCTCTGAAAGGTATCAGTGGGTCTACCAGCAATCTACATCTTGAGCAGCTGGGGACAAGTTCACACCTAGGCTAGGTTTCAGCTTTGCTCAGCTCCCTATGAGTTTTACCATCAGTCAGCCAATGAAAAAAACCAACAAGCCGACAGCATTAGTTTCACGGTCTCTGGAGACTGGAATTTATGTATTTAATTATCTCCTACTTGTCCTCCACAGAGTATATGATCCTTCAGTACTGGGTGCCAGTCACAGCACTGATATACTGACTAATAAACCTCTGTGTATCTGGCTCTTGGCTAGAGATCAGTGAACAGTTCAAGATGAATAATACATCTGATAAATCATTCCTCTTTTGCTGGTCATATTATTTTGTACAGACAATCTCATTTTCTCAAAGAGGTGATTATTTGTAACTATTTGCCAAATATATTTTGCAAATTAGTTTTGCTCTGCAGACTATTCCCAAGAAATTCTTCCTGGCAATTCTTAATACCCCACCTGCGTTGCTCAGTTTCGGTTTGGCATCATAACCCCATTGGGAAACTGTTCCCAGGCTAGCTGGCAGCAGCTCTCCTTGTTTTTGTGCAGTTTGTCACACGGTAGCTCCCAAGGGCAATTGTCAAAATCAGGACACCAGTGTGTTAAGCCACTTACAGAGTGTGCCTTCACAGCACCCCTCAGTGAGCAGAGGTTAAAAGCTTAATACCTCTGTCCCAAAGAGATTACAGAGGACAAGTTGGAAGGGGTTTGGCAAAGAAAGTAAGGCATAGATGTGTACTTAGGGACACAGAATGGTGGATGGAAGAAAGGGCTGTCAGAGCCTGCATCTGCATTTCCAGTGCTCTCTGCAAGCTGGGGTGGTTCCACTACCCTTGTCCTCCGCCCACCTCTTGAAGCCAGAGATACCCAGAAAGAGATCCCTAAGCCCAGCTAGAGCATGTGGCCTCAGCATAGGCTCTGCAAACATGCTGGATCTTACACCAGGAGAGGAAATTCACTGCACTTAACCTCAGGCTGTCAGTGGGACACCTTGGAATAGTAGCTCTGCAATTCCCTAGGGAATCAGTGGGAAAGACAGGCACTTCCAAGCAAGGATCCATACCAGAGGTGGGACAATTTGCCTTCTGCAGGAATCCCATGTCCTGAAAAGGCCTACAGTACTAGTGTGGGTGGGCACTCAGGGGTACAGGATGCCAAGCTGTCTCCAAGCTGGCATTCCATCCTCTTCCACATCCTTTCCTCTTCTGCATGACTGTTTCCACATTTGGATCTAGGGAGTTTTTACACATGCGATTTTTTTCCCTTACAAAATCAGCGTTAAAATCTTATTCGACCATCAGTCAAATGACTCTGCCTCTGAGTGAGCAATTGTGTGCAGCCTGGGAGGACTAAATACACATCTTTTAAACTAATAAACCTTTAAGTCAAGTATTTACTAGAAATATTTCTTAGAAACAAAGTCACTTGCAAGTACTTTACAATTATGCTCTAAGGGCACAATGTCTTTTGTCCCATTTAAAACAGCTGAAGGACTAACTCTTCAAAACATAAGATTTCTTAGATATATCTTTCAAAACATTATCACTCAGATGATGCTAATGAGATATTTATATGGTGAAAATGAGACTCATGGAATTCAAAAACAGTAGTTAGCAAGTAGGACAATACTAATTTTAGATACTAAAGCTGTTGATTAAAATAAGAGTTATTTTCATGGGATCAAAGCATATGGTTATGGAAAAATTAGCAGATTTTAATTTGCATAGAACAGAAAGATCTGTTTATATAATGAAAGAGAAAAACGACCACTGCAAGAGAGAAACACTTGAAACGCTGTCAAAAACATACAGCAGGATAAGTAAAGCTATACCTAAACAGCAGTACTCACATAATTAAAAGTAATATTTGCATTAATCTGATAATGCCAGGTTTTATACTGCAAAACAGCACTGGTTTGTGTTCAGACAAACCCACGGGCAAACAAGGCCTGGTCTGTGTCACAAACAAAATACAGTACTGGAACTGCCAGCAACCTCATCCCCAAGCTCAGAAACAAAGTAGACCACTGCAAAATGGTGCTTATAAATTAACTTTGAGTGGTTGAGAACATTTCTGGAATTGAATAAAACAGGCTGCTTTCTCGTGACTCATTTTTGCCTGAACTATTGCAGTTTCCATGTCTTCGTCACCCTCCCACAGTGAGTGCTCGCCAGGCACTGTGGGTTAAAGGGCAGGATCACATCTGTGGTTTCAGTTGCACAGACCCCTCCTAACAGCCAGGAGCACGAGCACTCTTTTGGTTCTGTGAACAGGCCAGCGCTGCCACAACTGCAGCACTCAGATGGCCCAGGGCTTCACAACAGACATGAAGAACCGAGATGAAGCAGCACTGCCTTTTTAGTAGTCATTTTAGCCTGACTGTGGACTGAAGTCCTGTAGTTTATAAACGTAAAGGGGATTTGAACCTCCTCCTGCTGAGATCCATCAAAACTAAAGCAAAGAGTAAAACAGCAGGCAGACCCAGCAGACAGCCGTGTTTGTCAGCAGGCCCACTCCAGTGAGGGGAACCTGAGAGATATTTAAACCTACGATCACAGATAACTACTATGCTGAGCAGCATGAGTAAAGCCAATGCTTTTTCTCTCACTCTTACATCATCCAGTAGCAACTGCCTTTTAGAAATGGAGTACTACAAGAAACCAAAGCTCTCTTTCTTTTTGCAAACATCTGAAAAGATCAGGCAGCTCAGCTCTATTCAGACCCCAATGGGGCCTCAGGGCTTACTACTTATCAGCAAGTTTGGAAATTCCACCCTGAATATTATGGGACATATCCCTGGAGCTGCCAGCGAGCTAACACAGAGATACATTTAGAGCAACAGGCATTTGTATCAGCTGAGGATTTGTACCCAAACGGTAAGGTATTTGATAAACATGTCCTGACAGATGCGTAATAGCACTACCTATTCTCAAATACTTGAAAGAAGGAAAAGGTGTAAAGATACAGATTTGTTTAAACCAAGCAATATATAATTCTTCTACAAGGAGTAATATACATCATGGCACAAACTTAACTTTGGTCTAAAAGAAGTAGCAGTATTTCCTCAGAAGTCTCCAAAGCCATCTTTTAAAGATAACACAAACACTTGTTATATTTTACAGGCATTTCACATCACTGGAATTTTTCTCTGCTATTTCCATTTTGAATTTATAGAACAGGGCTCAGCAGGTGCTTTGCTAAAGGTTGATTCAGAAAACAGGAGAAGCTGGTAATCATCTTCCTGGAGGAAAATGCATCCAACTCTGATGAGGACCACTGCTGAACTGCCACACAGCAGAGCCTCCAATGACCCTGTTTGAGCTCAATGAGCACAACACAAGCAACAGTCCTTGCTTGTGCAAACTATATTTCCTACTTAAAAAAAATAATATTGAATTTTACCCTTTTTTACCTATTGCATAGCCCCAGATCACATTTCAACAGTCACATATGGGGCATTAAACCCACACTATTTCACAAACTTCAGGGAAGGGATCTCAGCAGTTCCAATTCGACAAACATGTTGGGGTTGTAAAAGCTGATATCATGTCTTGAGCGCAGCAACACTCCCAGCTCCCAGCAGACACTCTCTATTAACTTCACTGTCTGCCCCTTATCTCCAACCCATAGTGAGCACCATGGTGGGGATATTTTCGCTTCTTTTCTCCCGCCTTACATGAAGGAGTTCCCCATCCTGGCCTGCTGCTCACAAAGCAATTTATGGATCTTATTTCATTGCACAGGGCCCTTACCCTTGGACCCTCCCACCCTCACCAGGCAGGAGGCAAGGCATGGGCTTGCTCTGAAGACAATGAATGAGCTGGTCTTGGTGCCCTTCGCTAGCCGTATGCTGCCAGAACCCTGGGTCATGGCTCTCCTGCAACAGGCCACTTACTTTTATTTCCCTTTTCACTAGAATTCAAATCCTTGAAGTTTCAAGGAACTTGATAACTTTAACACTTATATCTCTCTGGCAAATTAGGGGTAAGCAGAAAATAAGTTCAAAAGTTATTAGGAGTCAAAAGATACAGACACATCAACTGGTCACAACCATCTCACTTCATTACAAAATAAAAGTAACCTTGCAAAATCCTACCAAAAGCCTGGGAAATCTGGAAGAAAGGGCAGGTAAAAGTCTGTGGTGATTCCATAAAAGTTCCCCGATGGGTTCCCAACACAGCAAGAAGTATCCAGCCTGGCCTCCACTGGATATTACAACAGCAATTCGCACAGTTGGCAGCACAAGCAAGTCTGGCACGAATAGAAACTAGTAGCTTCCTCCTCACTCATGTCAGAGGCAGCACAGGACTTCCTTTCTGCCTCCTTCCGTGCTGTGGGAGTGAAAGAGGGGATGGCAATCTAAAGATATATCAGGTCAGAAAAAAAAAAAAGAAAGAAAGAAAGAAAAGAAACGCAGAGCAGAGCATGTTGCCACTGTTTAAAAGGTAGGTGAGATTTAAATAGCAATAATCCCCAGAAACTATCTAGTTCAGGTCATCAACTAACAAGCTGGTTAATTCCTGTAGGGATTAATGGTTGAAATTATTATGCCTGACAGATGTTTGCTAAACAGGAATTAGTCCAGAATAAACAGCATGAAGACCAGCAAGAAGTAAAAGTGCAGACAGGTAAATGTCAGAGCTGAGATTTTTAGAAATCATTAGCTCAGCCTCTAACATAATTATAATTTTCCTTTATCTTCCACTTCTTTTTCAGTCACAGCTCTGTAGCAGGAGATTCCCATCACAGACTGACACAGTAATCTAGATTCTGCTTTCAGTTACAATCATGCAAGGGAAGAAAGAGGTTAGCTGATATTTCCAGGAAATACCTCTGCTGCACAGTTTGGCTGAATGGAATACACTCTGTAGGTGTCAGCTGTCTCTCGTGCCAGAGCACATGATGAATTCTCCATTCCTAATTCCCCAAAACTGTTGGAAAATATAAAGCGGCATTCTCCCTTGATTAATTATGATCCTGCTGGGTATGCCTGCTGTTAGACATTCAGTAAAACCCACTGGTTTGGTCTATACACACCACTACCATTTGCATCATCCTTATGGTACAGATGTAGTTAATACACTTCAGGACCAAACCAGATCCCACTTACTCAAGTTGGTGTAAATCCAAAGCAAGTCTGTAAGGCCACCAATCTCTCTAGTTGTTCAGGTGCTGTGTATCCTAATGTGTACCACACTGAGCAACATTTCTAGTATTATAATAAACATAAAGAGGAGAGGTGAAGAAATCAGTGAAAGCAAAACATGGGGGGGAAGTTGGTTCAAATTCTACTGCCAAATTAGAAAGGACAGTTACAAACAGGGATAAAACTATGATCCTCTCCACCCATTTCAGAATTGGGTAGCACAAGTGAACAGCATGGGTAAAAACTGAAGAGAGGAACAAAGATGGATGAAAATCTAGGTGGAAGAACAGCAACAGAATAGAAACTGTTGATCAAGCTAACCCTGTGAAGTTGCTAATACAGAGGATTAACTGAAGACCAGTAGCCTCAGTGAGGCTGTGACCCCTACGTGTAATGGTGACCTCAGCACAGCCAACCAAACACAGAATTTTGCCACCAGTGGTGAAAAAAAAAACCAAGGGACAGAAGAGGAGGAACATCTTAAGAGTTAGTAAACTGACAGTACCTCTAGAGAGGGAAGTGATACACCAGTTATTTTCCAACTGCCTTGTTAGCCTTTTGCTAACGTGAATGATCCTTAGAAGTGACAAGAACATCTCAAAGCACATCAGTGTGCAGACTAAAATATATGATGCCTGGGGGAACAAAAACTGGAGATGGGTCCACTTATCTGAAAGTCAAATCAGGGTTGGTTTAGAATTGTGTTGTTTGAACAGTAGAGTTTAAAGTGCCTATAAGTGAACCCCTTCACTGCTTTTCCCTTGTTCTCTCTCTGCTGTGATATATCCACAGTCACTGTAAATTTGCCATAGTCCTGTTAAAAAAAAAAAAAAGGACTGAAACTAAGGAAGAAGAGCATATGAGGCTAATAGCAGCTATGCACAGCAGCTTCTAAAACATGGTAAGAAGCAGTCTCTTTAGATGACTAACCTAGAAAGCCAAAGAGCTCCCCTAGAAAGCCAGAGAGTCACAACCTGGAGGCAGCAATGACAGAATCAAACTAACAGTGAAAAACGCAGCATTCCCCACAAAATTTTGCATAAGTTAGTATATTAACATACAGTTAAACATATTTGAAATATATAAATATCAGATTACCACTTGAGCATAATTCCCTTTAGAGCAAATTTGATTTTATATTTTTCCATATTTTTAAAGGAAACCAGATTCAGCAAAATATTCCAAATATTCCCCCAACATCTGACCTGTCATTCTTTTCTCTACCACACAAAGAACACTATTTTCAGTTTCATCAAGGGATGGAACAGTTTTTTTCCCACTTTTCTGGCCAACTATCATTTCTGTTGCGACAGTCAAAAGCATTTGAACGGCCCCTTCTTTAGCCCGACATCTCTGTTCAAATATGGATTCAATTACATCCGTAACTGTGGTAACATCTGTTGTAACCCTAACTGTTGGAACATTTGTTGGATGATCTTAGATTACCTGGCAGCCTTTAGGCACTGCAAAGGAAACATTTCTGCAAACCCAGTGCAGCCCATGGAGTTAAATGACTGCACTGCCCCACCGATTAATCTACTGTAAGTGATACTCCGCACAGACTGGCCTCATTGCCCACTGGCACGAGCAGCTAGTGATGTACTAGTCCACTATCTGTTTAGGAGACAGAGGTTGTCACCCCAGTAGGGTTGCGAGGGTTATAAAGTGTTGTCTGAGCTCTGACAAAGAGCTATGAAACCCCTTAGATAAGAAACAGAGCAGCAGTACAAAAAATTTTCTCCAAGGACAACCATTACAACTGTGTTATGTATTCTTACTACCCTGAAGAAGCTCAGGTTCTAGATGTGAATCAGCACTACACCACGCTGCAGGTAGCACATGTGGAGCAGTGGTGGCATCCCCAGTTCACAGAGGGTACTGCTGAAGCAGAAGAGAACAGATAGAACATGGATACAGACAGAGGGGACACACATAGGAGAAATGAAGCAGTATTAGCATGAAAAGCCACACGCAGAGGAGCAGCTGCCTAACCAGGGCCAAATTTCCACAGACATAGCAGTAAAAAGGTGTTAAGGAGGAATCTGAACAATGGTCATGATGTGGATTTGGGAAGGATTACGTGTGAGGACAAGACTGGAAGAAAAAGCATGAAAGTGCTCAGGTAAGTCTGCCGAGCGTTAGTGTGGGTTGGTGTCATAGGCTGGCCAGAGGTGGAAGCTGCTCTCTCAGTAATAAAGGAAATGCAGCTTGGGCATGTATGGGAATCAAAATTTCCACATTCTGGGAAAGACCATATTTCTAACTGTATTTTGGTTCTGAATTAGAATAACATTGGTATAAAGGGACTGCCCAAGCAATTGCTACTCACCAAAGAATCTGGTTTGGAATTGCTGTGAAAGGACTTTTCAGAAAAGGAACACCCACATCAAGCAATTAGGTTGTCTTAAGTACTGGGTTTGGAGGTACTGGCACAGATGGCACAGACAGTTGTCAAGCTCTTCATCCCTCTTTCTGGTTTTACACAGTTTCACTGTGTGTAAATAATGAATCATAATGCAGAACCTAATCATTATGTACAGCCTAATGATTCAGGTGTCCCACCTGCAAGCTGAGCATCTAGAAGATCAGGCTTGGGTCATCTTTATGCTCTGTCCCATTTAACAAGGCAGAAAAAAAAAGGATTTTGACTTAACAGTTAGCATAAAAAAACCCCACGAAAACAAAAACAACAATAACAAAAAAACCCAAACAAAAACCCCTTAATCCACACATAAAACCAAACTCTGAAAAATGTCAGATCTGATCTGGACAAGACTAAATAAACCAAGAAGAGGGTTAACTGCTGATATAGTCGCTTAACTGGAAAAAACATCTATTTGCAAATCCCCAAACTAAGGTGTAACCTGCTAGTAGCAATAACCTAACAGCTCTTCACAAATACCAGACTGATAGTTGACATGGGAAGGGTACACTATAGAAAACAATTATTTGAGGAGCACTGAAGCACATCCAGGTAAATTCCTCAGCACTGACTAACTACAACTATCCAACAACAAAAGGACTTTAAAAAAAAAAAAAAAGGTTGTGACATTTTAAGTATTGGGATTAAAAGTGTTCATGTAATTACCGGCAAAAATGTTTTTTATAAACACCTTCAGCTCTTTCATCAGACAGCAAATGCTAGTTTGCTCTGCAGACAAGAATAACAGCACCAGCTCTCCATCCTCCATCATGAGGTATTCACAGAATCACACAATGGTTGAGGTTGAAAGGGACCACTGGAGGTCATCTAGTCCAACTTCCCTGCTTGATCAGGGTCCCCTAGTAAAGCATGTTATTCAGGATTCTGTCCAGATGGCTTTTGAGTATCTCTAGAGAAGGAGACTCCAAAGCCTCTCTGCACAACCTGTATTGTCACATTATGCAACAGTTGGACAAGCAAACACCTGAGGGGAGAAATAAAGTAATGCTGAAGGCAAGAATATCTTTAGGGTTGCTGGTAGCTCTGTCCTGGATGGGAATTTGTGTTGTAGAAAAAAACAAATGAACCCAAACCAAATAAATATCACCCTCTCCCCCCAAAAAAACCAAACAAACCAAACATCAAAAACAAACAAACAAACCATGAAAAAAAACCAAAAAACAAAAACCCCAGAAGGGGTTGAAATATTTTCCTTTTTTCTTAGGCTGAAGACATTTTCTGTAGATCGGTGTTTCATACCAGCAGCATGCACGCACTGACAAAACAACTAATGCAGTCGGCAGCTCTATAATCTGAGAATACAAGGGAAGAACCCAGGCTCTGGTGAAGCCAAGGGCAATACTGTCACAGAGCCAAGATTTCTATCCTGACTCCTGTGGACTTAAAAGACAAGGTAACAAGTAAATTTTTCCTTGGGTGCTCTCTTAATCTGCAGATCTAAATTAACACGAGCGTCTCTGGTGTTTACTGAGCTTGTGTAATTAGCTGTTTACTTCGCACAAAGCCTGTGCTTAACCAGCTATAAACCAATTCTGCTGACTTACATCACCTACATTTGTCAACCGCTGTCATCTGCCATTCATATAACCACTACCACATTCCCACGGAGGCTCAAGAGTGTTCACGCAAAGACACTTTTGCATTAGGAAAAGTCAGTCACCTAAGTCAAAGGAAA